GCTCACTGCAGCCTCAAACTCCTGGGCTCAAGTGATTCTCTTGCTTCAGCCTCCCAAGTAGCTGGGACTACAGGTATACATCACCCAAATTTTGTATTTTTGTCTTGCTGTGTTGCTCAGGCTGGTCTTGAACTCCTGGCCTCAAGCGATCCTCCCACCTCAGCCTCCCAGAGTGCTGGGATGACAGGCATGAGCCATCTTGCCCATCCAAAATAGGTGCTAAAGCAAAAGTTTACTGTGATTAGATTTCTCAGAGATGATCACAATTAAAATTTGATATATATTATTATTGATTTAAGTTAGTATTTTTAAAAGTAAGGCAAAATATAGATAATAGAGGAAGTTGGGGAAAATCATTCATAATTCATTGTATCTCCACAGTGATGATTAGTTTTTCTTCTCGATCTTACTCACATACATATTTTAACAACTATATATGATGTTATGTTGTACTTGAAATTTTAACATCCTAGGGTTTTTTCCCACTTATATATAGTATAAATCTTTTTTCCAAATAGTCACATATTTTCATTTTGGTTTGTTTGTCTTTCAAACAAGGTCTCTGTTGACAGGGGTAGAGTGCAGTGACATTGTCATAGCTTACTACAGCCTCAAACTCCCATGTCGAAGCAATCCTCCTGCCCCAGCCTCCTGAGTAGCTGGGACTACAGGTATGCGCCACCACACCTGGCTAATTTTTCTATTTTTTATAGCAACGAGATCTCACTATGTTGCCCCGGCTGGTCGTGAACTCCTGGCCTCAAGTGATCCTCCCACCTTGGCCTCCCAAAGTGCTAGGATTACAGGTGTGAGCCACCATGCCTGGCCCATGTTTTCATTGTTAATTATGTTTATGTATATATAATTTCCACCAAATGGAAGTACTGTAATTTGCTAAGCCTCAGTGTCCACCAATAATAAAATTGTTATTTCCAACAACAAACAGAGGATATTTTTTATAGGTAACAAAAGAATTGCATTTTTTTTCCCCTCTCTGGGCAGTTACTTCTTTATGAGAAAGTTCTAATAGTAGAATTACTATGTCAAAGAATATAGGCATTTTTATGATATACTGATGGCTTTGAGGAGCTTCTGAGATATCCTACAGATGCTGTATATACAGAATGAATATTCTGTTCTGAGTTCCTGTATCCAGAAAATGGTGATTACAACATTCCAACTACAACTGAAGCTACAACTTTCAGACCTCATGTATATTGCCAGATTACCTCCAGAAAGATGGTACCAGTAGACATTCCCACCAGTGTGTGTGAGAGCTCTCTTTTCCTGCACCTTTGCCTATCTTGAGCATTAAAAATAGATTTTTCTATTTGATGTGAAAATTTTTTCTTCATTCTTTCAGTTTCCATTTCCTTGGTTACCACAGAGATGGAAGTTTGTTTTCATATGTTTATTGGCCTTTTGTAATTCTTGGTGTATTTGTTGTATGATCCATTTTTCTCTTAGTTCAATTCATCTTTTTTCCTTACTCATTTGTAAGAAATCTTTGTATATTAGGTCTATCTGTCCCTTAATACATAAATCAAGAATACTTTTTTTTAGCCTGTTTTGTCTTTTAATTTTATTTGTACTTTGGATATAGAGAATATTGCTTTTCTGTGGCTAGATTTTCCCATTTTTGTCACATGGATAAAAATTTATCCATTTTTGTCCTATCTATTTTTGTATCATGCTTAGAAAAGTCTACCTTAACCCTAAAATCAATCATTTGTCAATATTTTATTATTTTGTAGGGGTTTTTGTTTTTTTTGACAAGATCTATTGCCTGGGCTTGAGCGCAGTGGTGTCATCGTAGCTCACCATAGCCTTGAACCCCTCAGCTCAAGCAATCCTGCCTCAACCACCTGCGTAGCTGGGACTACAGGCGTGTGCCATCATGCCTGGCTAATTTTTCTATTTTTTTGTAAAGACTGGATCTGGCTATTACCCAAGCTGATCTCAAACTCCTGGCCTCAAGCAATCCTGCCTTGGCCTCCCAAAGTGCTGGGAGCCACGCCAATTTTGTGGTTTTGCTTTTTATATTTAACCTTTAATCAGTTTAGGTTTATTTTTGTGTGTAGTATGATGTAGGAATCTTACTAAATGTTTTTTTTTCCAGGTGGTTAACAATAGCCCTAACATAATTTACAAATAATCTGTTTTTTATGATTAGAAATGTTATTTTTGTCATATACTTAATTATTTTTATATCTCTTAGAGTATTAGAGACCTTTTTTTAAAAAATTGTTTAAAAAATAAAGATACGACCTCACTGTGTTGCCCAGGCTGGTCTCAATCTCCTGCCTCAGCCTCCCAAGTAGCTGGTATTACAGGCGCAAGCTACCACACCTGGCTTAGGGATCTTTTAAATGTATAGGCCTACTGTTGAGATTTTCTTAGCCACATTCCCATGATTTCAATTACTCTTTTTACGTCAAAAACTCTAAAAATGTTTTCAGCTCACACCTCTCTCCTCTATTCCAGATATGTATGTTATACTTTCTGTTTGGATATTTCGAGACTGAACGTATCTTCTTCCTCCCCAGACCAGTGTTCTTATTCTCACTAAAGATCACTGTCATCATTCAAGCCAAAAGCTGGCCCATTATACTTGACTTCTCTGTCTCTCATCCGTCCCCCCCATATTCAACCATTCCTGTTGATTCTGTCTCTTAGCTAGTCCAGCCCCCTTACTGGCTATTGAAACAGTCTCACAAGGGATCTTCTAGCTGTCACCTTGAACTCCCACCCTGTACCCCTGTACACACTCTTTCTCTGCACTATGGGCAAAGGGGTATGTTTTTTAAAACAGATCTAATCATGTCATGTCTTTTATCAAACCTTTTCAAATTCATTTTATGGCTTTCTGCTCACTGTAGTAGTGTAAAGTCCTTAACATGGTTTACAAGGTTCTGATTGATCTGGCCTTTGCTTACCTCAATCTTTATGTCTCATTTCTCATACTTAATACCTCGACCTTGCTAGATTTTCTTCATTCTTCTAAAGCTTCATTCTTCTAAGCTTAATTTCTTTCGTATGTTCTGTTTCATCTCACTGGTGTGTTCTTTTCCCTTTTCACTTGTCTAGTTCCTGTTTATCTCTTCCTCATAAAGGCTTTTTTCCCAGACTAGATTAGGTCTCCTCTGCTCTACATTTCATAGCACAGCATACTTGCAGTTTTATAACTCCCATACTTGAAATTATTGGTTTAATGTCTTTGTCCAGATATTACATAATCTGCATTGAGGTGGGGGGGCATTGTCTGACCTGACATTTTTTCCAGCATTTAGCACTGATTACACCCAGTCCCCACTCTGCTGTATAAGTCTCTGCAGGACTGTGTGATAGCTGAAACATCTCCTTAGTAGCCCTCCTGTGAAAAAGGAGGAGGAAAACCTGGATAGGATCTTCTTAGCCCCTCAAAACCCAATCAGAGGGCATAGACCTTGAAAAGCCCATAGGACCAACTTTATTATGTACTTTAGCAGACTTATTCTGTCCTTTCATACCTCTGGAGCTCTTCACTCTGGTAAAACCAACTCTCCATCCTTTTTTCCTTGAAATAATGCTGCCAGTTGTGTTTCTCACTTAAGAGTTATGTGTAGAGATATTTTTTGGGTGAACAGTTGTGATCTTCACATTTCAAACATCAGGATATAACAAAACTCTACTATTTTTGTAATCTTTTTGTAAGTCAAAACCTATTTTACAACATTTTTTTTTTTTTTCTGAGACAAAGTCTCACTCTCTTGCCTGGGGTGAGTGCTGTGGCATCAGCCTAGCTCACAGCAACCTCAAACTCCTGGGCTCAAGCAATCCTACTGTCTCAGCCTCCCGAGTAGCTGGGACCACAGGCATGCGCCACCATGCCCGGCTAATTTTTTCTACATATATTTTTAGCTGTCCAATTAATTTCTTTCCATTTTTTGGTAGAGACGGGGTCTCGCTCTTGCTCAGGCTGATCTCGAACTCCTGAGCTCAGAATGATCCGCCCACCTCGGCCTCCCAGAGTGCTAGGATTACAGGCGTGAGCCACTTTTTGTTTTTAAACTGCAGGCTATGCTCTTATATTGAGGTGTGCCTGAAGAAAAAAACTGTTTAATTGATATGAATCTAGAAGAAAGGACAGTGTATTTCTAGTTTGTATCAAGTTAGTATTTTCTAACTATTGTCCAGGCTCCTTGACTTATGGTAGAAGTTTGTGAATCTATCTAAATACGTTAGCCTTGTTATGAGGCTGTTTTCCCTGTGCAACTTTTTTTTTTTTGAGACAGGGTCTCAGTCTGTCACCCTGGCTAGAGTGCAGTGGCACAATCATACCTCACTGCAGCCACCAACTCCTGGGCTTAAGCGATCCTCCTGCCTCAGCCTCCGAAGTAGCTGGGACTACAGTCATGCACCACAGTGCCTGGCTAATTTTTTAATTTTTTGTGAGCTGAGGTCTTGCTATTGCCCAGGCTGGCCTTGAACTCCTAGCATCAAGCAATCCTCCTGCCTTGGCCTTTTAAAGTGTTAGGATTATAGGCGTGAGCCACTGTGCCTGGCCTCATGCAACTTTTGCTTATATTAACTGACTTTTTATGTAGATTGGTGTAGGATGAACAGAGAGTACTAATAAATTGGATTTTCCTATGCATTTAATCTTTGTCTTTATCATTATAATGCAATAAATAGCATCCTGATTTATTCATCAAGTGCTTGAATGTTTGTCAGTATGTATGTCTATCCTGGCCTGTCACTTCTTAGACAGCTGACAAATAGGGTTTCTGAATCTGGAAGTCTGCAGCCAATGCTGATTTTTGCTGATGCAGCCACATTGATACCCTGAAGAGGTATTGTGTGAGGTATTAGGTAGTATCCCTAGGCAACAGCTGCTCTTTCTAGTTTGTTTGCTGGGACAGTGATATCCATTCCCCCACCTTTTTCCCCCTCTGTGAGCAGGGCTCCCAGTTTTCCAAACCTGAAGTGTTTTCCATTCAAAGGAAAGAGAAGATCTGTGGATGTTGAATATGCAAGGACGTGAAGAGAGAGAGATTGGGAGAGAGACTTGTCCAGGTGAGTGAGCAAGAGAAACCAGTGGGATAAACAGCCAGGCAGTAGGAAGCCTTTGAAAATTTTAGAAGAGAAACTAAGTGAAGTTCAGGAGATCAAATTACTGTCTCCTATAGGGGTGGTGGGGGCAGGTATGGGTGAATATCTCTGGGGCCTACCGATCCCCAGTACGTATTTTATCTTTCTCTTTTATAGCATTTGTCTTTTTACATTCTCCCATGTTTCACTCTCTGAATACAAATTATTCATGTTTCCTGTCTTGTCTTAATCCTAACCTGTGTGTTTTTTGTTGTTTTCCATTTACCTCTGTTGTCTGTCATTCTGTCACTCCCTGAATGTCCATAGCTGCCCTTTTCATGGGGGTTCCTCATTAACAGTGGTCAAATTACTGTGATGCACATCTCTTCTACCACTTGCAACTATGAATTGCTTGCCATGCTTGCTTTTATTGGCCCTAACTCATAGGCTATTACTGAGTCCTGTTAATGTTAGGGTGCTACATTGTCAGGGACTTCAACTCTGCCCTACATAAGAGATATTCACTCTGCTGTTTTCTTTCAGGATGGACGAACAAGCCTGCTCTAGAGCAGGATGTCTATGATGTTGACTCACCAGGGACAGTAGTAAAGAGATTCCAAGAGGGTGAATACCAAGATTGTACTCTTGAAAAAAAATATACATGTGAGGGCATGAAGGAAAACTCTTCTGGACAAGTTCCTGGGCCATGCCTTTTCCAGGAAGGTGGTTTTGGGGGAATAACTTTCATCCACAAGGAAGCACCCCCTGAAATGATTAGTCAAGAATATAGTTTTGAGAAAAGCTTGCTTTTGACCTCAAGGCTTGTTACACATCTCAGAGTTTCTACAGAAGAGAGCCTGCATCAGTGGGAAACAAGTAATATACACACCAATGAGATTTCAGGCCAGAGTAAATGTTCAACTCTCTCCACACAGAAAAAATCTTGGAAATGTAATGAGTGTGGAAAAATCTTTACTCAGAACTCGTCCCTTACACAACATCAGAGAACTCATACTGGAGAGAGGCCCTATGCATGTGGAGAATGTGGGAAAGCCTTTAGTCGAAGCTCATTCCTTGTTCAACATCAAAGAATTCACACTGGAGTGAAACCATATGAATGTGAGCAGTGTGGGAAAACATTTCGATGTCGATCATTTCTTACTCAGCATCAAAGAATCCACACTGGAGAGAAACCTTATAGATGTAATGAATGTGGCAGTTCTTTCCGCAATCACTCACATCTCACTGAACATCAGAGAATTCACACTGGAGAGAAACCTTATAAATGTAATAGATGTGAGAAGGCATTCAATCAGAACACACACCTTGTTCATCATCAGAGAATTCACACTGGTGAGAAGCCCTATCTATGCAATGAATGTGGCTCTTCTTTTCGCAAACACTCAAATCTTACACAACATCAGAGAATTCACACTGGGGAAAAACCTCATAAGTGTGATGAATGTGGGAAAACCTTCCAAACAAAGGCAAACCTCTCTCAACACCAGAGAATTCATACTGGAGAGAAACCCTATAAATGTAAGGAATGTGGCAAAGCGTTTTGTCAGAGCCCATCTCTTATAAAACACCAGCGAATTCATACTGGAGAAAAACCCTATAAGTGTGAGGAATGTGGCAAAGCTTTTACTCAGAGCACTCCACTCACTAAACATCAAAGAATTCATACAGGGGAGAGACCCTACAAATGCAGTGAATGTGGTAAAGCCTTCATTCAGAGCATTTGCCTTATTCGGCATCAGAGAAGCCACACTGGAGAAAAACCCTATAAGTGTAATGAATGTGGAAAGGGCTTTAATCAGAATACCTGCCTCACTCAGCATATGAGAATTCATACTGGTGAGAAGCCTTATAAATGTAAAGAATGTGGGAAAGCCTTTGCTCATAGTTCATCTCTTACTGAACACCATAGAACTCACACTGGTGAGAAACTCTATAAATGTAGTGAGTGTGAGAAAACCTTTCGGAAGTATGCACACCTTAGTGAACATTACAGAATTCACACTGGTGAGAAGCCTTATGAATGCATAGAATGTGGAAAGTTCTTCAGGCATAGTTCAGTCCTTTTCAGACATCAGAAACTTCACAGTGGTGAATAATGCTGGCATTTAGGTTATGACAGTTTCTCTAGAGAGAGTGACTAGGAATCTGGCTGGAAGGAGCAGAGCAGGTAGAGTTCCTGTAGGGAAGGTTGAAAGAGCCTTGGCTACTGCATTCTTAGAAGAGTGTTTCCAGAAATGGAGGTGGGAGCTTGGAGAATGCAGAACCTACTAGTCCAGGTGGGCATCTTGGAATATAGGGTAGAATGGAAGTCCTGCTTTTCAGATAAAACCTGCAGGTTGCCACTCCTTCATCCCTGAGTGACTTCTACACCTTGAGGCATTTGTTAGATTAGCACTGTCTTTCCTTTACTACACCCCACCCCACCTTCTGACCTCATCACACTTGTTCACTGGCTTGTAGGTTAACATGGTATTCTCAACATTGCCTGTCAGTGTGTAAGTGGCACAGCTCTGATATAGTGCTAAGTTTAAGTAGCCTCCAGATGTTTGAGGCAGCTCTGACCATGCTACGGTGGGGAGGCTTTCTGACCTGTGCAAACTTTTGATCCTGTGAAGGGAAGACAGAAGCAAGTGAAAAACAATCCATATTCATTTATTCAAAAAATAGGAAATTATGTGACAAGAACTGGGCTGAACAGTTCTACAATGTGCTGGTGAAGAAGACTTTTATCAGGGTGAAAGTTTTTCCTGACCCTTTAAAGCTTTTGGGAAACTTGGGCTAAGAAGGAAATAGGAGGTCAATAGAGACTTCATGATGCCAGTTTGTGGGAAAGCAGTCAGATGTGCTGAGAGAGCCAGGGATAGGAAGACTCAATCTCTGTCCCAGAGGAATATTGGTTTACCCAGCAGAGAGATGGTCTGTGCTAGATAACTGGTGATATGAGGCCTCAGAGAAGGGAGCCTGCATTGTGACTGAGCAAGTCACCTACATAACCCTATCTGGACTAAGGTGTACCCCTGTCTCTTGTAAGTTTGGCTGGGCCACTGGTTCACAGGGACCAGGGGAGAGGGACCCACTAGGACTGATAGTGTCCTGATAAAATGGGACTTCATTGTAAGAAAGCATTAGTGACGAAGGAAGACAGCTTTTTAGGTTGGCTGGAGTTTGGGGCTACTGGACTAGTCTTTAAGAGAGTGTTAACATTTGTAATGGAATGACTTTGGGAATAACCTCTTTTTCAAAATACCCCAAAAATCAGAATTGCACAGTTTTCCACTGACTGTGAGAGAAATGACATAGTTTTCCCTTTTCTCCCCAATCCCTTTGATTTTCTTTCTCTTTCTTTCTCTCTTTTTCTCTCTTTCTTTCTCTCTCTCTCTCTCTCTCTCTCTCTCTCTTCCCCCCCCCTCTTTTTTTTAAGACAGAGTCTCGCTCTGTTGCCTGGGCTATGGTACCATGTTGTCAGCCTAGCTCACAGCAATTTCAAACTCCTAGGCTCAAGTGATCCTCCTGCCTCAGCCTCCCGAGTAGCTGGGACAACAGGTGCATGCTACTATGCCCAGATAATTTCCCTTTCGTATTCTTAACTGCCGCTCAGAAATTGAGCTCCAGAAGATTAAGTGAGGATAGATTTTTGGCTGGTACTTGACATAGTTTCTAAGCTCTGAAGCTTATATATTTTTAAAAATATGACTATTAAAAACAACTAAAGTAAGTTGATTCTGGAATGCTTAATTATTTGGAACTCATCATTGATTTCTCCAGAGCAATCGTCTTGTAAACATTGGTTTGGGCCATGAATTGCCATTAATGGGAACGTAGTGGAAACATCACATATGCTCTTCCCACTCTAGCAATGAAGATTATTTTTTTAAAACCTACTACAGGAGATTTCATAATTGAGCATCTTACCCATAATTTTATGGGTAAAAATAACTCTATGAACGCCTTCTAAATATTTTATGTTCATAGAAAAATACATATTTTACCAAGAGCTACTGTTAATGTATTTATACTTGCTAAATGAAAAATAACACTTTAGAATTAATTGTTGGTACATAGTAAATGTTCAATAAATATATATTGGGTGAATTAATATATTTTAATCAAACTTTGCCCACCAGAACTACAAACTTCCTGGTGTGTAGGTATTTATAGTAGTATTTATGCATTGCTATCTTTGGAATCTTGAGTGGACAGTAGAGAATAGGGAGAGTTTTCTTGGAAAAAAATGAGAAAACCGTAAGGGTGAAAGATATCTCTAAATTCTTGTGAGAAAGGTTTTCTTTCTTTCTTTAAAGACAAGTCTCACTCTGTTGCTCCAGGCTGGAATCCAGAGGTGTGATTGTAGATCATAGGTCACTGTATGTAACCTTGACTCCTGGGCTCACGTGATCCTCCCCAGCTAATTTTGAAATTTTTTTGTAGAGATGGGGTCTTGCGATGTCGTGCAGGCTGGTCTTGAACTGCTGGCCTTAAGCAATCCTTCTGCCTTTGCCTCCCAAAGCACTGGGATTATAGGCATGAGCCCCCATTCCCAGCTAAGAAAGGTTTTCTAAAATGGAATGGCCATGACCCTGGATTGTTAATCCTCAAGCCAACATTCTGGTACATTTTCACTTTGTGGAGATACAGAAAGGAGAGGAACTTAGCACCTTTCCACTATCCTCACCCCTCATTCTCACATTTGCACACACCTGCTCCTGACTTTCAGTTGCTGGCCCATGGTGTGTCTGAGCACTCCAGAGTGGCACCAAACCTAGCAACTGCCCTCTCCCTCAATTTTCCCTCTTATTCAACCTTCATATCCATCCAACCACTATATTCTGTTGAAATTATCTTCTAAATCTGGAAGCCGTCTCCACTGCTATTGCTATAGTCCAGTCCCAGTTTATTTCCTAGACTATTTTAAATTTTTCAGTCTGCCAGTATGTTGCCCTTCTAGGCCATGTTTCACACTTATGGATGATCTTTGTAAGCCTAACTGGCAGCTTTATTCTCTCTTAGAATAAAGTCCTAGCCGTTTAAAGTGGCATCTGAGGCTCCTTATCTGGCCCATGCCTACCTACATTGCCATCCTCAGCCACCATTCCTTGCCTGGCACATTCTGTTCTATGGAGCAGATTCTTGTGATTATATAGTATCACCATTGGACCATCTGGCACGTTTGCACATTCTCTTTTATTGTTCCAGTTCTCTTCCCTGCTTCTGCTTGCCTGGAAAACTGCCATTTGTCATTTATGAATATGTTTAGGCAACCTCTTAAAGCTGTCTCTAACCTTGTATTTTTTTTTTTTTCCCTTTGAGACAGAGTCTTGCGCTGTTGCCCGGGCTAGAGTGCGGTGGGCACATCATAGCTCATTGCAACTTCCAACTCCTGGGCTCAAGCAATCCTCCTGCCCCAAACTCCCAAGTGGCTGGGACTACAAGTGTACATGACCATGCCTGGCTAATTTTTCTATTATCTTGTAGAGACAGGGTCTGGCTCTGTTCCTCAGGTTGAACTCCTGGCCTCAAGTGATCCTCCCACTATAGCCTCCCAAAGTGTTAGGATTACATACATGAGCCACCGCACCTGACCCAACCTCATGTATTTTTTATTATCTTTATATTTTGTATTTTTCATCATTTTATATGTTACATTATGACGGTTCATTTACAAATATTTCTCTTCCCACTCAACTGTCAACTCTACCAGAGCAGGAGGAATTTGACATTTTTTTATTTTATTTTTTATTATTTTTTTTTTAGATATGAGGTCTCACTACGTTGGATAGGCTGGCCTTGAACTCCTGGGCTCAGGTGATCCTCCCTGCTTAGTCCCTGATTATCTGGGACTATAGGCACATACCACAGTACCCAGCTTGGAGCAATGTGATATTTATTCATTTTTATGTCAGCCTAAATTGCTGTCAAGCCGCAAATTTCTGTTTCTAGTAATCTGCTCTACCTAGGGTACCCCACTCCAGGCTTAATTTTCACACAGTAAAGCCTGCCAATTTAAAGAATCTTTTAAGCCTAAAAGGGGGAAAAATGATTAGGCGTAGGCCCTCTGGCTTGTGGGACATCCTAGGGCTGGGGACAGAAGTCATTACTTGATTCCATAGAAGTTCTGAGAATGTGATAACTGGTAAGTAAGGGGAGCTCAACATTATCATTACCTGGCATGTCAGCTGACAGTTTTAGAAAGGGTCCCTTTTTAGCTTGAAGATGGTTAGTGATGGCCTCAGTCTGTGGCATCTCTACTCCTGATTTCAGTCTCTTAAAGGGACTCCATTTGGGGAAAACAGCCAATCTGGAAGTTTGAGCAGACATTTTTCTGCTGCATGGCATTCATTTATTCAACACGTGTTTACTGAGTGCCTACTATGTGTTGCACACTAGGGATGTGATAGTAAGCACACAGTCCTATTGTCCCGAGCTTGCAGATCAGGAGGAATGCCTGGAAGTGGAGCACTGCTCTGCTACCCATGCTTTTATCTCTGGAATCCATCTGTCAGGATGAGCCATGTGTAGAAATATTTCCTGAACGAGGTACCAGCAATATCTCAAGTTTTGCAGAATGTGGGTTAGGGTGCTACTTCCTTGCTGGAAAGGTCACGGAAGCCAAGGCAGAACAATAGGGACTGGAGCTGGGATGACGAATGGATAATACTCTTAACATTTACTGAACATTTTTAAAGTGCCAGAAATTCTTAGTAATTTATATGTATTAACTTCATTTAATCCTCATAACAGCCTTATGAAATTTGGTACCATTATTATCTCTGTTTGATAAATGGGGAAGCACGCACAGAGAAGTAAAGTAACTTGCCCAGATTCACACGCTGACAATCTGGGATTTAAGCCCAAAGCAGAGCTCTTGTTCTTTTGGCTACTTGTTGAACAAAGATCTTAAATCACTAAGGTGTTTGAGGTTCCTGTGACGAGGTCAGTTTTCTTGCAGGTGAGAATGTGTGTGAGGAAGTTTGAAGCCAGCTTTGTGAAAGGCTTGAGAATCCCCAAAGAACAGTGACAAAGGAAGATAAATGTGGCAGGGTTGCAGGATGAACTGACACATACCGCAAGAGCTCCTTGTGGTCGACCCTTCCTCTCCGTTCAGTTTCTTTATACCGAGAAGATGCATTTTGAGGTGGGTTTGCGGGCTGTTTCTGGGGCCGGCACCCCTGGACAGAGCACAGAAACCCGCCACTCTGAGGCTGGGAGAACCATCGAAATGACGCCGCTCCCGCCTTCCTAGAGGGGGATGGTTGTGCTTGTTGGCTGCGGCGCGGACTGGTGACGTCACGCCGGCGGGGGGCGTCTGGGATTTGCTCCGAGCGGCCTGGGACTCTAGGGCGGCAAGGCCCGTGGGATATCGCTGCTGTGGGGAGCGCCTGGTGAGCGGTTTCTGCTGTGCCCGGCTGCATCGGGGTCTAATCCAGCGCCTCCCTGGGGCCCGGGGCCAGGCCAACTGCAGCGCCGCTTCCTTCCCGAGAGCCTTTGCGGCGGAGGCCGGGGTCTGAGGCCAGCTTGCCCTGAAGAGAGGAGGGCAGAGGCTGCTCGAGAGCCCAGGGCTGGGAGTCGGGGGACCAGGATTTCGTTTGTATGTACTTGAGCGATTCAGCGAACTTCTGAGCGCTTCAGTTTTCTGATTTCCTGAAGTCAGTGCTATTCCTTGCTTGGCCGCTTCACAGAGTTGTGTGGGTTGAATAAGTATATGGGAGTGTTACCGCCTTCATTTCCTTAAGTACTTTTTCTTCTCTTTCAGCAACAAAATAAGTACTGTATGAAGACAGATCCAATAATTTAACAGCAGGTACTATTTACTGAATGCTTACAAGCTGGCACTCTTCTAAATACGTCGCATATATTAACTCATTTACTCAACACCGCAGCCCTATGGAGTAGTTACAGTTATTGTCATTTCCATTTAACAGTTGAAAAAGCTGGAACACAGAAAGGTTAAGTAACTCACCCAAGATCACTTAGCAAATAAATGGTGGTACAGGTATTGCAACCCAAATAATCATAGCCCCAGAGCCCATGCCATACTTGTCTTCAAGTTTAGTGGAGGTAGACAGTGTCATCAGAGCAAAAAGTGCTATAGTAGAAGCATGTGTAAAATTAAGAATGTAGACAAGAAAATGCTTTGGAAAAGTCAAGAAAATTTTTCCACAAGTAAGAGGTGTGGTGGTTCACATTTGAACTGAATATTAAAGTTTGACCAGAAGTTCGAAAATGATTAAGTAATTTGTTCAGTGTTAGATAAGAGGTGCTAGTGGATTAAAATGAATTAGACTGGAAAGCAGGCCTCTGCCTTTTAATAAAGTGTTCTTTCCATTAGGAGGAGTTCTTAAAACCCTTCCGTTAGGAGGAGTCCATAACATCTTACAATAGATCCCTGTCTTCTGGAGATTCTGCCTCACACAGAGACAATCATTATGTTTCAGAAATTCTTCCAATTCTGATTGTGAGAGGATAACTGACAGGAAGTTCCCCTGGTATTGACTCAGCCTGTTCTTAACAAGAGCTTCTCCTCTCACTGCTTGCTCAATTACTAAAGATGTGTAAGCAGCCTCAATCAAAGATGGACTGGAAGGGCTTGACTTGAGGTTTTGCTCTTTTCCCATCTGCTTTTGGAATCAAAGAATCACTGAATGTTGGTACTGGAAGAAGCTTTAGATACCATCTAGCTTTTCACTTTCATTTCACAGACAAGACAATCAGTCATGGATGAGATTGTGTGATTTGCTTCAAGTCAATGAATAAGTTTATTAATGTTTATTAATTGGCAGAGCCAATACTAGAATCCAGACCTCTTAACATAGTCTGTTCCTTGTCTTCATGCCCTCTGCTTTAGCCCCACTGTCTTTGACTTTTGAAGGCAATGGCTTTTCCATTAGGCTTGGGGGCCTTTGGGCTCCAACCTTGTCTCCTATAGAGGAATTTTTACTCCTCAATGCTTAGTGCTTAGGAACACCTGCCCTTGTTCTTTGAGCTTCACCATGTCTCTCTAAAGTCTACTCACTGACTTTTGTCAGAAGTGGTACTCTTCTGAGACAATAATGATATTGTTTCATTTAGACTTAAAATAGTTACTTGGCTAGGGATGGCTTGTTCCTGGGTTCCCTTGAATCCAGGGTGTGAAGGAAGTAGGCTGACAATTTACAGGTGGCTCTTTTTCCTCCCTCAGTGCCTCAGATTCTTGAATTTCCTCAAGAGCAGAGTCCCCAGAAAACAAACCAGTATCGCTTGTGTTCCTAACAGCTTGTCTCTAGGTAAGTGAAATCTAACTAGAGAACCCAGGATTGCTTACTATGGGGGTATTCATTCAGAAGTGGTGACAGACCTGTAGTGGGACCTACCAGTGACCACTATACTTGGATCCAGCAGACCAAAAACTCAGAGCCACCCAGAAATGGGTACCATTTTACTCAAGTCAGTGAGAGTGGCACACTGTGAAAGACAACTATGGAATAATTGGTTATAGGACGGATGAGAGAGTGTACCAACTTCTTATCAAATGTACCTGAACTGTAGCAAGACTATCCCCTGTGCAGTCATCTGGTGGCACATCTTGAAACCACTTATTAAACTGCTAAATAGGATGCCTTAATGGTATAGTGATCAGATCTAGGAAAACTGATAGTAGATTATTGGAAGACTCATTGGAAAGGTGATTGTTTCCTTGGAGAATATAGAATGGGCCTCTAGCCCTGTTCAAGAGCTTGAGTAATTACAACTGCCATTGTTACTGGCTGTCAGAAGGCAACATGGAGCCAGGCTGTCTGTCAAACCCAGTAAAGAATACTGGGTGAACTGTATCTTTAGGTTATGGGAACTCTGTGAATAGATCATGACTATTTATGTTCTGAAGAATTTGGTCTAGTCTAATATGTGTGTGTAATATATTACACTTAAGTGTCTATATATGTTTATATGTGTATATGCATTGACAGATACCTATAAGAAAGTTCATTAAAATACCAACTGTATTTTCTGTGGGTGAAAGGATGTCAGGTGATTTCCATTTTGTACTAACTGAGCATTTTATAGAATGAGCATGCATTCTTTGTATGATAAAACCTTTTTATTTAGGGAGAATAAGAGTAAAGGAAATAAAAATGTGGTTAGAGTTTTAGTTTTACATTTAGCTGCTTAAACCACTTGGAGTTTATTTTTGTATATAGTATATCCATACTGGAAGCTAGTGCAGCAGATAAAGATAGAGAGATAGGTACAGGCAAGATAGCGAATATATTTAACAATCAGTGTGGTTACAGGCATTGCCCAATCATATCAGTCTCCGGCCACAAACAATTTGTGCAGATATACAAGTGTGTACCAGCTGACTCTCAGCCCCATTAGATCCATATATACCAACATGAAATGATCTCTAAGATACATTCTTTAGTGAAAAAAAAGCAAACTGCAGAGCAGAACGTAGAGAACAATTGTGTTTATATAAATAGAATCAAATGCTATATGTGTGTAGAAAATTATGTAGAAGAAAGGACTGAAAGATTATACTCCAAACTTGATAATCTCTGGGGAAGGGAATGGGTTTGTTTGAATAGGGTGAGGTAATGATTGCTATAACAATGACCGTTTTATCCTATATATATCTATATTATCTAAATATTTTAAAGTGAAGATATATTCATTAGTAACTTGTGTGATTAGAAAAATAAAATAAAAAGGGGTCTCAGAGACTAAAAATGCCTCTGATTCTGTGTACCCTTATTCAGGGCATCAGGGTTTCAAAGTTGGATGCCATTACTATCACCATATTCCTCTCTTTCTCCAATTCTTTGCTTCCCAAGGAGTGTCCTGATGACAACGATTTGGTTTCCATACAGTTTTTCTATAGTGAAGAGAATGTGTTAATCAGCTGGACATTGAGCACAAAATTTTTCATTGTAAATTAGCAAAGGACTTTGTTTTCTACATCATTCCCCTTGTAAATTTGATTAGTATACTTAAGATTCCAAAGCATTTCTTTGGCCACAAAGGTAGAGCCAGATCCTGGACGGTGATGCTAGAGTCAAGTTACTGTCCAATGAACACTTCTTCCCTAATGACCACCTCTAACTTATTTTTCTGAAACAAAACAGTGATATCTTATTTTCTTTCAGTAAGCAGAACTGTAGTTTTCAAACCTATAGATTTTTCCAGTTGGACCTAGGGGGAGAGCTATTGATGCTAAATATTTTGGAGAAAAAGAGAGGTCCACTCATCAAGGTGACTGAATAAGGAAGGATTGGTGAGATGGGCCTAGTGAAAGTTACAGCCTGGATCACCTTTGAAGTGTTGGAAGGGACAGTCTTGAATTATCACTAGACTGCCAAGATACTGCTTACAGGCAAATTAAGGAAATATAATTACTATTCACCAATTTTTTGAGGAGTAGAGACTATAGGTGAACAGTAAATTTCCCCAATACTTAATTTATCCAAGTCTAGGATACTTAATTCTTTCACTTTTTCCTGTTTTTTTTTTTTTTTTTGAGACACAGTCTCGCTCTGTCACCCCAGGGTAGAGTGCAGTGGCATCCTCATAGCTCACTGCAACCTCAAACTCCTGGGCTCAAGCAAGCCTCCTGCCTCAGCCTCCTGAGTAGCTGGGACTATAGGCATGTGCCACCATGCTCAGCTAATTTTACTATTTTTGGTAGAGATGGGGTCTTGCTCTTGCTCAGGCTGGTCTTGAACTCCTGAGCTCAAGTGATCTTCCTGCCTCGGCCTCCCAGAGTACTAGGATTATAGGTGTGAGCCAACACACCCGGCCTCACATTTTCCTGTTATTTATTACTGTGGATGATCCCAAGTTACCTGGATTAGGTTTTGGTATTTGATTATTTCAGAATCAGCCATGATAAGGAATTTTATAGTATTCCTAAAACCTGTCACTATTTAATCTCTTTCTTCAGAGAGCCTGGTCATCAGGGTGCTTTTGGAGAAGGTGAAAATGCAAGCTGTGCAAGGAAAGGGAGTAGAAATCCCGCAGAATGATTGAGAGGACAGCGCATACACACGCACGTGCAGTCACACACACACCCAAACCTTTCCCAGGAGAACATTGTTACTTTAATGATAATCATCTTTGAGAAAATACCTCGTACATATGAATTTGAGAAAAGGCTTCATCTCAACTTGAACCTATTGGACAGAAGTTCCTTCGGTGCATTATAAGCAGCATGAGTCAGATTTCACTCCACATGAAACACCGGAGAGTTTACATACAGAAGAAACCTTCAAAGTGTAGTGAATGTGGAAAATTCTTTACTCAGAGATCATCTCTTACCCAGCATCAGAGGATTCACAGAGGAGAGAAGCCCTATGTGTGCAGTGAATGCGGAAGTTGTTTCCGTAAACAGTCAAATCTTACTCAACATCTGAGAATTCATACAGGGGAGAAACCTTTTAAATGCCATGAATGTGAGAAAGCCTTTCAAACAAAAGCAGTCCTTGTCCAGCATCTGAGAATTCATACGGGAGAGAAACCCTATAAATGCAATGAATGTGGAAAAGCCTTTTGTCAGAACCCATCCCTTACTAAACACCAGCGAATTCATACTGGAGAGAAACCTTATAAATGTGCGGAATGTGGCAAAGCCTTCAGTCAGAGCATATGCCTCACTCGTCATCAGAGAAGTCATTCTGGAGATAAACCTTATAAGTGTAATGAATGCGGGAAAGCCTTTAATCAGAGTGCTTGCCTCATGCAGCATCGGAGAATTCATTCAGGAGAGAAGCCCTACACATGTGCAGAATGTGGTAAAGCCTTCACTCAGAACACCTCCCTTGTTGAACATGAAAGAACTCACACTGGAGAGAAACGTTATAAATGTAGTGAGTGTGAAAAAACTTTCCGCAAGCAAGCACACCTTAGTGAGCATTACAGAATTCATACTGGAGAAAAACCTTATGAGTGTGTTGAATGTGGGAAATCCTTTAGGCACAGTTCAGCACTTGTTCGACATCAGAAACTTCATGCCGGAAAGTGAAATTTGGAATATAATGAGTATGGAAAGGTTTATATGAAAATACCCTTTTCCCTCCCTAAATTCTTGGGAGTTTAAGACTCATTCTGCAGCTGGGATGAACATTTTGTATTTTGAACAGGCATTGTATCCTAAAAGTTAAGAAAATAGGCCTCAGAACTAGTTAGTCTTAAGTTTAATGCCTTCTCTGACACTTAATAGGTGTGATCTTATTATTTCTGAGCCTCAGTTTCCCCATCCTCCCCCAAAAGAATAATAGGGATATTTATTAGATTTGTCTTGAGAATAAAATGAATTGTATATGACAGTTAAATTCCATTAGTTAGCTGTTTTAAAAGTTTATAAAAATATCTTAATCCGGCATTAAAAACAAACAAACCAGCATTTGGGTTTTTTTGTTCTCATAGTGCATTTTTTCTTAAGAACATTCTTGTAATCAGGCTATGATTTTATGTTTAATTTACAGAAGCCTATTTAAACTATAATGTCTAGGTTTAAGAGGAGAATACAATTGAAGACTGATTTATCCTTGAGAAACTTCAGATTTAATCAGAGAAAAAACAAATGATTGGGATATTAGTGGACATTGTGACGTGTACTTCTGGAAACCCTCAAGATCTTTATTCAGATTTTGATACCTTCCATTATTGGATCTAATTTGACTTTAAGCTCTAGGTTTCATTTTTCCATGAAAAGGGAAGCCTCACTGACAGTGAATAAAACCTCGGATTGTGGTACTTTGTGTGTTTGGGGGGAAGCAGTGGGGAGGTGGCAGGTAGGAGAAAGCACCTGACGGTAGAGGGCATGGAATATAGAGAATATAGCATGTTGGTGAGGATGTGGCTGTACTAGTTTTAAATTCAGAAGCACAGCACTGAAGATAGTCTCAGGGAAGAGGAGAGTAGGAGATGTTGAGTCCTCAGGTGCCAGCATGTGATGCCACTGACGAACAGCTAATCACCTGTCAAAGGAAGGTGAGAACAGTGTCCTGGGGATGTGTATGGGTCGGGGACGCCTCACCTACTACAAAGAATGACTTGTTAAATCTATAAAGAAGCAAAGAAATCAAAGGATACTTTTGATGGTGCTTTATGCAATGCCAAGCCCTTTAATGTAATGTAATGCTAAAAGTAATGTAATGTAATCTAATGCTAAAAGTACCCTTGCAAGACAGGTAGGAGTTATTCGCATTCCAGTGTCAAAGAAAAAGAGAACATATTTGACTTGCTCAAAATCAAACAGGTAATGTCAGAGTTGAACTTCAAATCTGGATATTTTTACTCCAAGTGTAGTCCTGGATTTTGTAGTACCAAACTCACATACAGGTAATCATTGAAACTTTCCATTGAAGTGTGAGATGCCAAATTTGCAAAAGCCATTTTTTAAAAAAATAAATGATTTTCAACTTAATTTGTGCTCATTTAAATGCATTTATAAAATTGGGAGAATTGAAATATTAAAATTACGTGCTTTCACCATTCAAATATAGTCATGTTAGTATATTTATTCTAGCTTTTCTTCTCCGCATAGCTTTTCTTCCTTTCCTTTAAAAAATAATTATAATTGTACTATATACAGTACTACATCCTGCTTTTTGGTTTAACATGTTTTAGCAATATATTATAGACTTTCTATATATGTCATTTTAATGGTTACCTAACATTACATTGGCCTGTTCATAAGTTATTGGCCTGTTCCCTAGTGTATATTTACATTAATACCATTATTTCCTTATAAATCAGGTAATCCACTTAATGCAGTTACATGGTATGTGTTCCTGTTAGTGATTAAGATTATTAACTCAGCAATGAAACATCTTTGTATATAAAGCTTTTATCATTTTAAATTATCGCCCTAGGATTTTCGGAGAGTATGATCTTTTTATCTTATGTTTTAAATTTCATTTAATCTTTTTTACATGATAATACAAACTTATGGTTTAAAATTCTAAAAGTATAAGAATTGGCTCATGCCTGTAATCCCAGCACTTTGGGAGGCCAAGGTGGGAGGATTGCTTGAGCCCAGGAGTTAGAGACCAGCCTGGGCAACATGGTGAGACCTGGTCTCTACAAAAAATTAAAAAATTACCTGGGGATAGTGGCACACACCTGTAGTCCCAGTTACCTGGGAGGTTGAGGCTGGAGGATCACTTGAGCCCAGGCATTGGAGGTTGCAGTGAGCTACGATCATGCCACTGCACTCCAGTATGGGTGACAGAGTGAGACCCTGTCTCAAAAATATAAAAATAAAATGAAAGTACAAGAAGTAAACAGTGAGAAGTCTTTCTCCCAGCCACCCAGTTGTCCCCCTAGTCCACCCCAGACAATGAATATTATCAGTTTCTTACTTTTCTTCCATAGATAAGTATAAGCAAGCAAACATGTTTCTCTTCCTTCTTAAAGACTTTTTAAGAGCAGTTTTGAGTTCACAACAAAATTGAGTGGAAAGAACAGAATTCCTATATACATCCTGTCCCCACACAGGCACAGCCTCCCCTATTATTAACATCCTACACCCGGGGGGTACAACCTACATTATAGGTACAACCTACACTGACACATCATTATCACCCAAAGTCACAGTTTACATTAGGGTTCACTTTTGGTTTTGTATGTTCTATGGATTTTGACAAATGTGTAATGACATGTTTCCATCATTATAGTATCAAAAGAGTATTTTCACACCTCTAAAAAGTTTCTGTGCTCCGCCTAGTCCTCCCTCCCTCTCTGCTAACCCCTGGCAACCACTGGTCTTTTTTACTGTCTCCATAGTTTTGCCTTTTCCAGAATGTCATATAGTTGGACTCCTGCAGTATACAGTCTTTTCAGATTGGCTTCTTTCACTTAGTAGTCTGCTTTTATAGTTCCTCCTTGTCTTTACATGGCTTGATAGCTCATTTCTTTTTAGTGCCTAATAATATTCCATTGTATGGATATACCACAGTTTACCCATTCTTCTACTACAGAACATTTTGGTTGCTTCTGTTTTGCCAATCATGAGTGAAGCTGCTATAAACATCTGTATGCAGTTTTTGTGTGGACATAGTTTTCAACTCATTTCGGTAAATTACCAAAGAGGGAAATTGCTGGATCATATGGTAGGAGTATGTTTAATTTTGTAATAAAGTACCAAATTATCTTTCAAAGTGCCTGTAGGATTTTGCATTCCCACCAATGATCCATTAGAGTTCCCACTGCTCCACATCCTTGCCAGAGTTTGGTGTTATTAGTGTTTTGGATTTTAACCATTCTAATAGGTATGTAGTGGTATTCGTTGCTTTACTTTGCAATTCACTAGTGATGTATGATGTTGAGCAGCTTTTCATATGCTTATGCCATCTGTATATCTTCTTTGGTGAGGTGTCTGTTCAGCAGCTGTTTCACCCATTTTTTAATTGGATTGTTCATTTTCTTATTGCTGAGTTTTAAGAGGTTTTTGTATATTTTGTATAACAAACCTTTATCGGATAGGTCTTTTGCAAGTATTTTCTCCCAGTCTATAGCTTGTCTTCTCATAGTTCTCTTGATTCCACCCCTTTTCTTTTTTCCTTTTTTTAAACAAATGGTAGTAAAATATACAATTGTCTATTTTGCTTTTCACTTATAAAGATTGCTCTATATTGGTAAATAAAGATTTTCCCCCTACCCCTGCCCAATATTCTGAATAGACCATTATTTATTTAATTAGTGCCTGATTGATGGATATTTAATAGCTTCCATTTATTTTCTATCATAAGTAATAATGCATATACAACATCCATGTCTTTAGGTACATGTGCAAGATATTGGAGGATAATTCCCAGAAGTGAGATTACTGATTAAAAAGAAGTGTGTGCCTTTGTAGTTTTGATAGATATTCTGACCTTTCACAGAGATTGAACCATTTAATCCTCCCACTAGCAACATATGAGAGATGTGATCATTTAAAGAGATATCACAAAAGATAAAGCATATTAACAACTGTTCAACAATTCTGTTTTACAAAAAAATTTTTTTGAATTTCCAAGTCACCCCATGTTGCTGACAGAATTTCCACCTGTGCCATTGAGTAACCAACACAACACACTTGAATCCTTCTGCAGTGTAGGTGTCACATTCATAATGACTCCACACACGAGCAGGAGTTTTACTGCCTGTGTATTCTACTGCAGTCGTACCCAAGCCATACTGAAATATATATTGTTTTATTATAAATTATATTATTTAAGGTCTCCTTTATATGTAGGTGACTTATTGATTTTTAAAAATATGTATGTGTAGGTAGTTTATACTTCTTAGGACTGTCATTTCAGGGTAGTAAAGGTGGTGTTATAAAAATATCTGTGTAGCATGAGGGCACTGGATTTGATGGGGTCTTAGTGAAAGCTCCATGTCATTTATTAGAAAATGCAGAAGATTTGCTATCATAAGACTAGAGTTTAAGCCCCAGAAGTATGGCCTTAGGTAAGGTACCAAACCTTGCCTCCTTCTATTTATTTGCAAAATGGAAATTATACTAATACTCCAGGACTTCTGTAAAAAAAAATACACAATAATAAACTTGAGATGGATCACAAACCTATACATAACATCCAGAATCATAAACCTTCTAGAAGAAATTTTAGAAGAATATTTTTAAGAACATTAGTTAGGCAAAGATTTATTAGATAGGATACAAAAAGAATTAACCATAAAAGAAAAAGATAATATTTTCATAAAACTGATACATTAATGAAAATGAAGAATATCTGGTCATCAAAAGAAACCTTTAAGGAAATTAGTAGACAAGCCACAGGCTTAGAAAAATATTTATAACACATATTTTGAGAAAGGATTTGCACCCATGATTTATAAACATCTATAAGTCAAAAATAAGAGATGAACAACTCAATAAAAAGTAGGCAAAAGACTTGAAGAGACTCAACAAGAAAAGATATATAACTGGCCATTAACACATGAATATGATTCTCAGTGTCTGTGATGGTTCATTTTATGTGTCAAGTTGGCTAGGTTACAGTGTCCAGA